TGATATGATGAAGCTAAGATGACGGCCTGTAGAATGCTTTCGTGTAGGTTTAAAACAGACGGGTTTTTCGCCTGGGGTTCGCTGTTTATCCGATTGATTTTTTTTCCCGATTGATGTTTCAGGAAAATGCTCATTTTTAGAACTAAAAAACGTACCTAAAACAGCAATAGTTGTTTTCCACAAAATGCGTAACGTCACCAACACAAGAAAAAGATATTTACAAAAAGAGAAAATATATAAACATATAGCTATTTGCAAGAGATCTATAAAAAGAAATTAAATTGGTGTGACCCGGTCACATATTAAGATCTATAGTTGTTTCTATCTATTAACAATAGACGTTTCCCCTTTTAACGGCACGCGCGCACGTACAGCATCGCGGTAGTTGATTAACAAAGTCAATTTGAGTTGTCATGCCGAAGTGTTCGGTAGCGATGTTTTCCTGAAGGAAATCTTGTCGATTATCAGCCTTTTTTATCTAACCTTAAAGGATAAAAACCGTGTCTTGAGAAAATCATAACTCCTTGCTATATGTAGACGGAACGATAAAGGATTGGGGTTTGTTTTAGAGAGAAAAACGTCTTTTTAATCAGCAAGGAGTGGTCAGTTTATTCGACGAAAATGGCCATCGAATCTAGGTTTCTTTCACTTGCAGCCGGCGAGTTATGGTATTATGTACATTCTGTCTTTCAGTATGAATAATTTTAGACTCGCTTACCCATATTCTCGTACATTTTTTGTTCCTTAAATACGGCACGCGCTTTGAACTTTTCGGCTTTCATTTTATACATATCTAGGCTTACTTGTAGCTGTTTGGCTTTGCCTATTTTGGCGCGAAAATTACAAACATTTGCAGCCAATGTTGCAGTTTTAGTCTACGGTCGTAATATTTTCGCTTGTTTTCTGGAGTTTAACTTGTTTTTGTCTTGCAAACCTTTGTAAAGTCTTGGTTGTTGTCTTCTTGTATTTTCCAGCATTAAAGTTCTGTAGGTTCTTAAATTGTTCTTAAATTCGAAAATAATTTTATTTTTGGTCACAAAACTTCGTTAAAAAACCCAGTTTTGTGCACAAGTTTTGTAAACTTGTAGCTTTTAATAGCTAGATAAATAATTTAAACTTGTTATATAGTTAGTGTCAAAGTTCTGCAAAGCTTTTCCTTAGTTGTCTGTTTGCCGATTGGTTAAAACCGTGTCACATGCCGGTCCACAAAACGTAATCTTCGGCAATCGGTCCGCAATCAAACATTTATTGACCGGTCAATAATAAAATGGTTGTAATATGCATGCGTGTCAACCATGAAGTTCCAAAGTTCATTTTTAAAACTTGTTACTAAATATTTACGGCGTTCCATTTATCCAGTTTTGGTTTTGTAATATATCACGACACGCAAGCAGTATAAACAAATCACTTTATTAAATCCTATTCTAGTTCCCTGCACTCAATGCACTATATTCTTGTCCTGTATATTGTCTAGCAATCCCGTTTGTTATTGTCATCCGATATCCTTTCTTGACCCTTGCACGCGACCTTTATTAATCATTAGACACCTTCGTATACTACATTACCCTCCCCTTAAGTGAGAGCGTCCTCGATCTCAAGCTCATCTAAATTAAAGTCCTGGTAACGATCAGGTGGTCGGCGCTGACGGGTAGATCTCCTTAGAGGTACCATGTTCGTTGCCTCCCTAACCCCGATGACGATAACCCCGATGACGATCTCCTCATCCGGTAAATGAGGATGACTGACGACTGTAGTTGGAAGAGGAGACCGTGAAAGTGCATCTGCATTACAGTTCTCACGACCCGGGCGGTGTACGATGGCAAAGTCATATTCTTGAAGGGTTAAGATCCAACGTGCTAAGCGACCTTTGGGTTCTTTTAGTCCCTGAAGCCAAGTTAAACTTTGATGGTCGGTAACCACTTGAAACGCCTTTCCCAGTAGGTAGGGACGCCAGTAGTGAATGGCCCACACAATGGCCAGACACTCTTTCTCAGTTGTTGAATAGTTCTTCTCCGCTGATGTCAATGACCGACTAGCATAGCAAACGACATATTCGCTGGAACCAACACGTTGCGACAACACTGCTCCAAGACCAGAATCGCTAGCATCAGTGTAAACAGTGAAAGGAATCATAAAATTGGGCAAGGCAAGGATAGGTGAAGTGGATAAGTGGGTTTTTAGGGTATGAAACGCTTGCTGTGCTGCTGGTGTCCAACAAAATTCTCTGCCTCCTTTGGTTAGTTCATGCAGAGGAGCGGCGATATCCGCAAAATTACGGACATACCTGCGGTAGTAGGAGGCCATTCCCACAAATGCTCTGACATCCGACAACGAAGACGGTGTCGGAAAATCTTGTACGGCTTGGACTTTCTCTGGGTTTGGATGGATTCCCCTTGCGGATACAATATGTCCCAAAAACTGAACCGATTCACGTCCGAACTGACATTTCGTTCCCTTGAGCTTCAAGCCAGCTGCTTTGATTCGATGCAAAACCTCTTCCAAAATCTTCTGGTGTTCCTCCCAGGTGTCAGCAAAGATAATGATGTCATCGATAAATACCAGACAGCCGCTCATCCCATGGAGAAGTTTCGTCATCATTCGCTGAAAGGTGGCTGGGGCGTTTGTCAAGCCGAAGGGCATAACAGTAAACTCGTAATGATTTGGGCCAACTGTGAACGCGGTTTTAGGAATATCTTCTTCTCTTAGAGGAACCTGCCAGTAGCCTGAAGCCAAATCTAACGTGCTAAAGAAGCGTGCTCCACCGAGTTTGTCAAGGATCTCGTCTACTCGCGGCATTGGAAACGCATCCTTCCTGGTAACTGCGTTTAAACGCCGAAAATCGACACAGAAACGATAATCACCGTCCTTCTTGGGGGCCATTACAATTGGAGAGGACCACGGGCTGTCGCTTGGCCTAATGAGACCTCGAGCAAGCATTTCATCAACTTGATTATTCACCACTTTGTTTAAATGGACAGGTATTCTGTATGGTCGTTGTTTGACTGGTCGACTGTCCCCAGTGTCAATAGAATGTTCAGCATCATTAGTCCGTCCCAAAGGATCATCCGGTCCATTTACAAACACGTCTGCATATTTCTCCAGCAGAACCGATAATTTGTTGATAGTTGGCGCAGCTGCTTCAATAAGCAGTCGCGTCTCCCCCGAGTCCCATGACAAAAGTTCCTGTGCAATGTTAACAACCATTCCGTTCGCTTTCAAGAAATCGGCGCCGAAGATACACTGGTTCTGCATATTTACTACCACAAAAGTGTGGACTACATTTAAACCGTTCACTCTTACATGAATATCAGTCATGCCAATCACGTGCAAGTTCTCTCCACCAACTCCTCGTGCCCTCAATTTACATTCCCGTATGTGTCCTTGGACAATATTCTTGTTTACCAGTGACACAGTTGCTCCCGTATCTACGAGACAACGTTGCAGGTGTCCACCTAATGTAGCTTTAATAAAAACTGCAGTTGGCGAGACACTGTTTATTGGAATGGCGTTGTCTTCACGGGCTGACCCCAGGCCTAATAGCGGGTCAGCCCTTGGTAGTTTCCCTGGTGTCGTTGTGGGGCTTGATACCGATATTGACAATCACGGGCGAAATGTCCGAGGTCACCACACACACAAAGCAGTAATTCTCGTTCCGGCGTTGCCCAGGGTCATTTCTTCTACGATCATTTCTTCGCTTGGGTTGTCGACATTCGTTCGCGATATGGTTAAATCCGCCGCAGTTATAACAAGCTCTACCACGACGGGGGTTCTCCATTCGTATCGCTGCCACTTCGCTGATGTTATTTACCGATGCGGAAAGTTGGTTAACCTTTTCGGTGAGGACCTCAACGCTTTCCTTTAACTGGCGCACCACTGTTGACTCGCTGCTAGATACGTTCTCTCTCTGAACTCTCGTCAGGTTCACATCATGATCAGTATTTGGACTTGACAGCTCGGGTGTCAAATCTAATTGTTGTGCAATCTTGACGGTCTCCTCGTATTTCAGGCTCGGTCTTTGCAATAGCTCCCGTTTTAGCGCAGGAGACGATCCTTCAATAAATTGTTGTTTTAAAAGCGTATCTCTCTCGTCATTCCCGATATTAGGGATCGCTCGGCTGAGCAATGTTTCCAACCCATACGCGAAAACTTGAATGTCCTCTCCAGGCTTGCGCGCACGTCGACGAAACTCCATCATAGCAATATGTTTGCTTGTTTCATCGCCGCCGAACGCTTCCTTTATCGCTGCTATAAGGACTTTGAAATCTTCCTTCTTGTCGTCTCCAAGCCGCTCGAACACTACAAACGCTTTGCCCGATAATAGCGTCGGTAAACGCTTCAACATTTCATCATCTTTCCAACCATTTGCCGTCGAACACAGCTCGAACTTTCGTAACCACAGTCCAAAATCACCGTCTGAAAATGTTTCAGGAACAGATAACAAATTTGCTCTTGTTGTCGCTGTTGATGTAGTCATCCTGGTCACGGCACCAATGTAATATATCACGACACGCAAGCAGTATAAACAAATCACTTTATTAAATCCTATTCTAGTTCCCTGCACTCAATGCACTATATTCTTGTCCTGTATATTGTCTAGCAATCCCGTTTGTTATTGTCATCCGATATCCTTTCTTGACCCTTGCACGCGACCTTTATTAATCATTAGACACCTTCGTATACTACAGTTTCAAATTAAGTTCACTCCAATAACCGGTGAATTATTCATATTTTAACACTTATATACTATATAACAAAGCACTTACCTGTATTTACTCAGACCTCGGGAAAGCAGTGTGTTTTGTACCCCCTCGACCGCTGTTGTTGCCCTCGGCTTCGTCTCGGGCAACAACGGCGGTCTGGGATCCACAAAACACAATGCTTCCCTCGGTCTCAGTAAATAAGTGATAAATAGATTGCTTTTAAAAAATGTAGTTGAGTTTTAGAGGTAGAATTTTTCAAATTGAAATAGGGAATTAATGCAGCACATTAATAATATAAACTAATAATATAACATACAGTTAAATTTGATATTAAATAGTAAAATATACTGTATCCATTAAAATATACCGTTATAATAATAGGACATAATTCATAAATAAATATATCTGGCAGATGGGAGATGAACCTAGCACCTCAAACCAAACAAAGCACGGCAAGCCTAGGTTATTATCTCGTCAACAAGAAATGTTTATTGTGCTAAGCCGAATGCACTGTGCATGGGTTGTTGGTGGAGGTTGTGGCACACAGATTTGCTTTGTCCACTTCACACGTGTCAAGAATTTGGATAACATGGATTACATTTTTACATCAAAGATTACTTGCCCTACCAATTTGGACAAGCCGAGAGTTTGTTGACACAAATATGCTGGGATATTTCAGAAAAAAATATCCCACGACCAGAATAGTTCTAGATTGCACGGAGCTCTTTATTTAGCATCCATCTTCCTGCACGGGCCAGTCTGCTACATTTTCTTCATATAAAAACCAGGGATTGATTTACTGTTTGTGTGTATGTGTGTGTGTGGGGGGGAGGGAGGTGTGCACAACCCCTATCCCTGGCCAGAGAGGGTTAGGGGGGTGGGTGCTATTTTCCATGATAAAGCAAAAATAATAGAGACAAAATGAGATACAGTAATTTGAGCAATAACATGATGATAAGCGAACTGTGAACAACAATTACAATTCAAATACAGTATGTTGGTGGGCGGGTGACACACATGACCGACACAACTGGGCACCAGAGTTGGCAGAGCACACCCCACCCCCCTACCAGATGATTCTGCATCCATCCTTTATAAAACCATAACACGGTGAAAGGGTTGATTGGAATCTCCCCTAGTGGATATCCTAGCTTTGTTTCCTTCTTGTATGCTGGTCCATAGCCTGTCGAGGGGAAGATGGCTGTGAAACTCATTAGAATAACAACATAACTCATTATCTATGTTAGTCAACGTTTATTCATAAATCTGATCGTTTCACTGTCTCGTGTGTATTGTATTTTTACCAAACCACCAATAGCAATTTCCAGTTTCCTATATTGTTCGAGTCACGGATAGGTGACGTTCCTAAAACATTGCTATTGGTTAGTTAGGCAAGAATACAATACACATGTGACGGTGAAGGAGCAGATTTATGAATAAATGTTGACCAACATAGCTAATGAGTTATATTGTTATTCTAATGAGTTTCACAGCCATATTCCGTTCGATAGGCTATGGCTGGTCGAACGAGTAAAAAAAAGATAACTAAAGATTGTGGGATACTAGATCTACTTGAACCTGGAATCAGGTCATGGCAGATCAATGCTTTGATATTGCGAGTGATCGTCGATCTGAAGTCACTTTTAACATTTCACCTTTCTTGGGTGGAAAAGATCAGTTGTCCCAGAAGTACTAGTTGCTCTAAGTAGTGATTTATTCGTTTAAGATGTCATTTCAAATCTTCCAATTCGGACTGGACTTGATTTCAAGTTCTTTTTAATCCAGTCCTCGGCTTCGCCTTGGACTTGATCAAATTGCGCGGACTTCAAAATCTAGTTCAGTCGATCCTCAAAGTCGGATTTGAAGTATTATCTTTCAGTGTTTTGTTACAAGTATCACAAAGTGGATAGCAGTAATCGAAATAAGGTTGCATCAAAACGCTATTAATTAATCGCAAGATGTTTGCGGGAATGTAGGGCTTGATGCGTCTTAACGTTCCTATACCTGCCACAACTTTTTACAAATCGTTTCAAAGTGTTCATCGGAACTTACGTCTGTATTCTAAAAGCTCACTCACACTTAAAGAGTGAATGTTCAATCTGAGCTTCCCTCAGGGGCGGATCCAGACCGATGCCAACGATGCGAATGCATCGGTCAAAATTGAGAGATCATGTTGCTTGAAATAATATATAGACATATTATGCTGTCGTCAATACTTGGTCAAGCACTCAGTAACAGAATATCTTTGAATCTCTCCAGCTATCAAACCGCAAATATTTGCTTAAACTTGACTCCATGTCAGGAATACACTATTTAGGTTGAAATCCAATTTAAATAGTCTCAATAACATTTTTACTTTTACTTACTTTTTATTTTGCGACACTTAAGCGTCAATAATTTCGCGACAAAATATGCTATTTTACCGCATGCTTTGACGTCACAGTAGAAAGCTGATGCATGACCTACGTCACGGTAGATTTGGTTTGCATCGATTTTCAGCCATTTTGCATCAGTGAATGCATCGGTCCCGAGTCCTTTTCCGCGTGAAATCTACTGTGACATCATCAAATCTATTGTTTTAGAGCCCACGTAACGAAAGAGCGATGAGCGATGCATCGCATGCAGATTGCGGACGCTCGCATCGGTCCACTGATGCAAATTGCAAAATCAAAATCTACTGTGACGTAACGGGGCATTCGATTCAAGTCATGGCGGCAACTAGGATATGCAAGCGCTATATGCAAATGAGCTATAATGCGAAGAAATATCCCTCGAAATTGACGGAGAAAACGGAGAACAAATAATTTACAGTCGAATTAATTACCAAGGCTTGGAATGAATCTAATCTTTCAACTGAGTACAAGAATTGAAGTATATTTATACTTTGAGATGCTCACTAATGCCACTATGTGAAACTCGATCGAACTGAGGCCTCTAAAGTAAGTGAAATTTATCTATATTTTACATTGTAGTACATTGTTCAGTTCAAGAAGTGTATAAACTGGAAAATGGGCTCCACAGTTAATGCAGATTTGTATGTGTTAACATAATAATTAAATTTGTGTCTATTTATTAAATACTGTTGCTTATACTAGCGGGGGGATGAGATAGTTTGACATTTTACAGTCTTTACATAGGTTTGCTTGTCTAAAGTCAAACCAGCCCCAATACCAAACTTGACACCTTGCTGTACTGAGGAAAATTTCATCTCTGTTTACATGGGATTATAAGCTGTGTCCAGACCTTCATTTTTCTCACAGCACCTGGCGGGCAAAGAAAAATGAAGACCTGATATACATGTTATTAAACGTTTGTGTCCTACAGCTGCCTTTATGGTTGTAACTCTGATTGGCTATTTCTAGCATGAGTATTCATGCCATATTTAATGTATTTTTTGATATTTTGGTTAATGCTATATATAATTAAATAATTATAGATTTAGTGATTGTAACTATATTTAGCTTGTTGTTTAAATATTGCAGGTTAATTAATGAGATTTCTAATACTGATGCAATATTGGTTAGAAGACTAAGGGGGAGTTTACATTGAAAG